TTCGGGGAACACGTGGGCATGTTGAAGGTCATCTTGGCCGTCTGGAGGCCATTTTGACCCTTTAGGGCCATCTTGGAGGACGTCTTGGAGGGCTCTTGGGCCGTCTTGGAGGCCATCTTGAGCGTCTTGGAGGCCTCTTGGGCCGTCTTGGGGGCCTCTTGGGGCCGTCTTGGGCCTCTTGAGCGATCTTTGGGGGCACTTGGGCCGTCTCGGTCCGTCGGAAGGCCGAAAAAAAACAACGGCCACAATCCTTCAAACACCCAAGGAAAATCAATGTTGTTGGCCTTTTCTGGCCTTCATGGAGGCCCTCTTGGAGGCCTCTTGGGCCGTCTTGGGCCAGCTTCGAGCCAACTTCGGCCATCTTGGTGGGCTCCTGGCCCGTCTCACGCCGTCGGAAGCCATTTGGGGGGCCTCTCTGGGCCGACGTGGAGCCCTCTTGGAATGATCCAGGGCCGTCGTGGAGGCCATCTTGGGCGTCTTAAAGGCCTCCTGGGCCGTCTTGGGGTCCTCTTGGGGCCGTCTTGGGGGCCTCTTGGGCCGTTCTGGGGGGCCTCTTGGGGCCGTCTTGGGCCTCTTGGGCGATCTTTGGGGGCACTTGGGCAGTCTCGGGCCGTCGGAAGGCCGAAACAAACAAAGGCTACAATCCTTCAAGAACTCATGGGGAATCGAGGTGTTTGGCCTTTTCTGGCCTTCATGGAGGCCCTCTTGGAGGCCTCTTGGGCCGTCTTGGGCCAGCTTCGAGCCAACTTCGGCCATCTTGGTGGGCTCCTGGCCCGTCTCACGCCGTCGGAAGCCATTTGGGGGGCCTCTCTGGGCCGACGTGGAGCCCTCTTGGAATGATCCAGGGCCGTCGTGGAGGCCATCTTGGGCGTCTTAAAGGCCTCCTGGGCCGTCTTGGGGTCCTCTTGGGGCCGTCTTGGGTGCCTCTTGGGCCGTTCTGGGGCCATCTTGGAGCCCTCTTGGGCGATCTTTGGGCGATCTTTGGAGGCTCTTGTGCCGTCTCGGGCCGTCGGAAGGCCGCAAAGAAGCAAATGTCAAAAATCCTTCAAACACCTACGGAAAATCAATGTTGTTGGCCTTGAGGTCCTCTTGAAGGCCTCTTGGGCCGTCTTGGGCCAGCTTCGAGCCACTTTCGGCCATCTTGGTAGGCTTCTGGCCCGTCTGACGCCGTCGGAAGCCGTTTGGGGGGCCTCTCTGGGCCGACTTGGGGCCCTCTTGGGGCGCTCCAGGGCCGTCTTAGAGGCCATCTTGGGCGTCTTAGAGGCCACTTGGGTCGTCTTTGTGCCCTCTTGGGGCCGTCTTGGGGGCCTCTTTGGCCGTCATGGGGCCATCTGGGAATCCTCGTGGGTGATCTGGGGGCGATCTTGGGGGCTCCTTGGGCCGTCTTGAGCCGGGGGAATGTCGAGAAGAAGAAAATGCCAAAATCCTTCAAAAACCTTAGGAAAATCAATGAGTTTGGACTCTTCGGGTCCTCCTGAAGAACCTCTCGGAGACCTCCTGGGCCGTCTTGGAGGCCTCTTCTTGGACACCTCTTGGGCCGTCTTGGTCCGTCTTGGAGGTTTCTTGGGCGGACTTGGAGGCATCTCCTTCTCTCTTGGGCCGTCTTGGAAGCCATCTTGGAGGCCATCTTGGGCCAACGTGACCATATTGGAGGCCTTCTTGAGCCGTCTTGGAGGATTTGTTGTGGACGCTGAGGTGGTTTACGCGACCTTCCCGGACCCCGGCGGGACGGGCCGAAGCGCCAGGGGAGTTCTTTTGGAAAAAGAACCAAAACCAAACTGTAAGAAGTCCAGCACGCCAGGCACCCCTGCGATGAATCGGCAGGGGGCGGCGGATCTACGAATAGCTTTCGGCCCCTCCCGCCACCGTTCCCTGGTTGTGGGTATGAGGCTTTTTTGGGATGATCGTTGGGACCTCGCCGAGGCCCCTCGGGGGCCTCCTGGAGGCAGGTTTGAGGCCTCTGGGAGGCTGTTTTGAGGCCTCTTAAGGGCATCTTTCTCTTGGGGCCTCTCGTGTCCTCCTGGGTGCCTCTTGCGGAGCCGTCTTGGGGCCCTCTTGGGCCGTCTTTGGGGCCTCTTGGGCCGTCTTGGGGTAGTCTTGGGGCCTCTTGGGACATCTTGAAGCGTCGGAGGCTCGAAAAGTGGAAAACATCGAAAACATTGTGAAACATGCGAACATCTGTAATTTTGACAGGGCACTTGCGTCCTTACCGTGCATCCGCTCGGTTTGGTTTGCACGGGATGCTCAGTGATATGCTCGAGGCCACCGTCCGCCCACATTCCCGCATCGCATACAACGAAAGACATGCCGGTGGTTCACAATCTAACTCGCGCGACGCTTGATTCGACAATCCTCAGCAACACAGCGATATTGGCAAAGGACCACGGCTTGATACATTGTAACTCCAGCTGTCAATTGCAATGAATGCGGCGATTAGGACATGGTCAACGTCTTCGCAGCTGCGCTTTCGTGGGGAACGTGGTTATCATGATTGTTCGCGAATTGGCCTTCACAAGGAGCTCTGCAGTTTCCAGATACTCCCAGGCCTTCCTCCAGAACAGGTGATTGCGACTTCTGGGGATGTACTGGTCATTGCTGTAGTCACTTGTGCCGAACGTTTGAGCCAATTCCTACCATATATTTGCAGCGTTGTGCAACGTACATGATGCAAGATTTGGCACGATGGACAAGTGTTCGCGCGCGTTCGTAGGGTCACTAAGCTCATGCCCCCAATGCTTCTTGCTGACTGGTCCTGCTGCTCTAGCACTTGCCTTGCACCGGCAACTGGGGGGCGGTGATAGGGCACATTGCGCTGAAGGAGCTAGAGGACGCTGGCATCGTCAGGACGGTCGTGACACAGAACGTCGATGGACCGTTCGCCGCCTTTCTGGGGACCAGAAGTGTTCGGAAGTCTTGCATATAGAAGACACGATCTGGCTGGATCCCGGTGCACATCCCTACTGTCACATTCGATTCAGACTCGGATTCAGGGAGAGCATAGGACGAGGAGGAGGAGGAGGAGGAGGAGGAGAGAAGAAGGAGGAGGAGGAGGAGGAGGAGAGAAGGAGGAGGAGGAGGAGGAGGAGCAGGAGGAGGAGGAGGAGGAGGAGGAGGAGGAGGAGAGAAGGAGTAGGAGGAGAGAAGGAGGAGGTCCGTAGCAATTTTGGCTCAAGGCTAAACGGGTGAAGCCAAAGCGATATAGCGGATCCTGATTGGTGTCGGGGCCTGTCCGTCGATCTCTCTCGAGGGACGGGGCGCACGAAGCTCTGTCTGCTGTCGGTCGGCCTCCAACGTCGGCAGATCAATCTTCACGATCTCTCCGACACGGCCGTTTTGGCCACAGTGCATTCCTGCGCGCCTGGTGCCCGCCGGGCCGCCCGAGGACAATGACGGCGGCACTGCGCCCCCCCGATCCAGGTCGCACGAGGCTCGCCCGCAAGGGAGGCCCCGAAGCTCCTCGTGCCGGTGCTGGGCGGCGCTCTCCTGACCCGTGGCCAGTGGGGAGCGAAAGGAGGACGTATACGCACATGAAGCCACGCGGGTCTCGAGAGTACGCATTGCGCAAGTGTTCGTAGAACACGTCCAGCCTCGTGGATCGAGGGGCCGTGTTCATGTGCATAGCTGGGCGCGTGAGTCCATTGTGGGCTCCCTGGCAAGGGAAGGACGGCTGCCCATGGGAAGGCCCTGGTGGCAAAGGGCCAGCTGCACCAGCCGCATCCTCTGCTGCTGCTGGACCTGCCCGTGGTCGTGGGGGGGCGTGCCCATGCTCCTGTCCAAGGCGTGTCCTCAGCGGGGAGCGCCTCTGGGAGCAGTTTCATCGGTGAGTTGCCGGCCAGCTCCAAGGCGGAGGGAGCTACTCGTCTCGTTTGACGAGCGCTTCGCCAACGCCAAGCCGGCCATCGTCACGGAGCTCAGTTCGGCAACCTCTCATACGGTCAAGTCCGTCGCGGCGCAGCAGGAGCAGGTCAATCTACAAGCCCAAAGGTGAACCACTTGATCCCAGGTACCGCCAATTTGACTTTGAGCAGATCAGGAAGCAGATGTGCATCGCGGAGGCGACGGTGCCAAACAGGGACTACGAGAGCATGCTGGAGCGGGGTAGGGACCCTCATGGAACGATCTTTGTTGTAACGACGACGGCGATGGTGAAGATATCTACAGTGCCGTTTGCTTTGGGACAACGGCTCAAGGAAGCCAACCTGGAAGAAGGCCAACGGGGTGTCCACGGTGCCAAATCTGGGCGCACAGTCATCGTGCAGATGGCTGGTGGAGCGAACGCTGCGATGAGAACGGTGCAGAAGGCGCGCCGACATTTCAAGCTGGGGGGTAGCTCGTGGAGGAACTTCTCGGTCGACACGGAGTGAGGGTCTGCGAGGCTCTGGAAGGCGGCGCGAATGGTTCGACGGGAAATTCAGACCACGAGGACGTCAGCCATTGACGATGAGGCAGAAGCGGACGTCTCCTCGCCGCCCGCTTCTGCCTCATCGTCCCGCGCTCACCCGACCTTAACCCTATCCTCGCGTCTTCTCCGTGCTCCTCCTCCTCCCTGGTACGTTCCGCCAGCTGCTCCGCCCCGGGCCGAACCTGAGTCCGACGCCGCCCGTCTGGGGTCTGAAACTGGGCGGGCCTGGGCCCCCCAACCTCCCCCGCTGCGTGAGATGGTGAGTAGTCGAGTGGGTGCCCTCCTGCTCGAGAGACATCCTCGAAGTACGACCCCACGACCCAACATCAGAGTTTGGGAGGGTGGCCGAGGGGCGAGATCGGCCCGAAGGCCGCCCCTCATGCGGCCTGCCTGCCCTGGGGTGGGCAGAGGGGGGAGAGGAGGGCTGGGGAAGAGCCGCCCTTCCTTCCTCGCTCCTCCCTCCCCTCATCCTTGCCCCCCCTCCTGTGGCGCTCCAGCGGGGGGGAGGGCGAGGGCGGGCGCGCGAGGGAGGAGCTGCCGCCCGTGGGTGGCGACAAGGTTGCTTCGTCACGCGAGGCCCCCCGCGGAACGCGCATTCTTTTGTGGCTGCGCGTGGTTTGCGAAGCACTGTGGGGGGGGGGGGGGGGGGAAACTCGGGGCAGCCCCCTACAGACTGAGAAAGGCCAACCGCTTGGCGTGGTTCGGCCACAGCACGCCGCTGGAGAGAGCGGCGACGCGCGGAGGACGAGCAGAGGACGGACAGGCGCCCCTGCGGGGTCTGCTCCGACCGATCGATCCGCTTCGGCATCCGATCTCTATGGCCTTCTTGTGCAGCCTGGCGCGGCCAGCCCGACCCAAGTGCCGACGCCGTGCCGACGCAGCCCGATCCGGCGCACGCTTCGAGTCGCTCCGAGGTCGCGGTTCGATGTTGACGCACCCTGCCCCACAATAAGCAGATTTTCCCCTCGGCCTTCCCCGCTTAATATGTCCCCTCTTCCTGTTCCTCCTCGCCTCCTGCTGTTCGGGTCGCTCTAGGGTGACACGGGAGTGGTGGCAGCCTGGCCAGGATGTCAAGAGCTCCTGGCCACGAGAGTTGCAACGTGTTGGCAGTTCGTTGCGCAGTGGGGGAAACAGGGGTGTCCTGGGTCAGGGCGTTGCCTCCCTGGGCCAGCTAACAAGGAAGCCACAGATACGGTGGAGAATACTTGGTTTTCGCGTGCCGCCCCGCCAGTGCTGGCCCACCGCGCCTGGACGCGACGCACCAGCAGCTCCCAGTCCCCAGGCACTGTGGACGACAATCTCAATGGAGAGGAAGCGTGTTGCCAAATACTTCCCAGATGTCTAAAACATGTTTAAACGTGTCTCAAGCTTGCAAGAACATGTTAAACAAACAACGTGCTTAGAAGATGCGCCAAACATCTTAAGCACATCTCCAATTCGAAGGTAGGATTATCAGAGTGTCCATTCCCATGACATCCCAGTCCCCGAGCATCGAAGCGCCGAGACTTCCCGAGCCTCCCGCCGCGCGGGAGCGGAGCGACACGCTGCCGGCTCGCAGAGGCATGGTGCGGCGCCAGGGCCGCCGGTTGCCGCGCGCGGAGAGGAAGTTCTGGAACGCACCGTGCGGATGCTTGTATCCTTAGCCCCGAGCTGGCAAACCACGCCCAAAAATCGCCCAGGAGGAGGAAGAGGAGGAGGAGGAGGAGGAGGAGGAGGAGGAGAAGAAGAAGGAGAATAATGATAAGAATAATGATAAGAATAATAATCAGAAGAAGCGGGGAAAGAAGAAGAAGAAGAAGCATAAGCTAAGCAGAAGAAGCAGAAGTTGAAACAGGGGTTGAAGCAGAAGCAGAACGGTGGGGGCGTCGGTTGAGGAATGCGCCCAGGAGGCCGCAGACCCTGGAGGGTTCCTTCTCTGAGGAGGGCGGCGTGTGATAGCCATGGCCAGTTCACGGTTGGGGTCCCAACGGCTTCCAGACCTGGGAATCTCGATCGAAATGTTCCTTATCCAATGTCCCCACCGTATCTTTGCCGCCAAGCTGGCAGATCACGCCCAAAAATCGCCACGTCGTGAAGGCCACACGGCCAGCGCCGCCGACTCCGAGGGAAGACGACGACGACGACGACAACGACGACGACGACGAAGACGAAGACGAAGACGAAGACGACGACGACGGCCTGGGCGCCGCCGCCCAGGCCTGCACCTCGCCGCCGGCAGCAAGAGCGTGCACGAGATCCACGGGAGGGGGCGCGGCGCCCCGCCGAGCGGGGGGGGGGGGACAGGGCGCCGAGGGAAGGTCGGGTATAGCCCGGACCCCAGTCGAGGGGAGCCGGTTAGTGATCGGGCCCCGAGGCCCAAGATATGGACTGGAGTCACTCAACCAGGCCTGCCGTAGCTGGTGTTTTTCGGGCGACGGCAGTTCTGGTTAGTGGAACGGGGCGGGGGCGGGCGTCCCCCGGTGCACATCACTGAACCAGGTCCCACTAAACCCAGTCCTGCCAACGCCCGGGAAGGCCCGCCTCGGGCTCGGTCGGCTTCTGTCGGGCCCTTCACGCAGCGTCGACCTGGCCAAGTACTCGTTGTGATCTGGCGACAACCGAAAGAGGAGCAACTCTACAAACCTCAACTTTTGGCGCTCCGCGCGGATTTCTTGGATCCGTGCTGGGCCGCCCCTTGGCGAAGCCGGAGGCGCCGCCCCTGGCGCCCTCTGCGCGCCAGGGAGGGGGGTCCAGTGCAAATCCAAGAAACCCGCGCGGAGCGCCAAAAGTTTCTGGTTCCTGCCCCTGCAACGTCGACTTGGCAATTCTCGTTGTGATCTGACGACAAACCACCAGAGGATCTACATGAAACGAGCATGGCCGCGAGGAGGGCCAAGTGCGTGCGGGAGCAATACCAAAATGTGGCCGGGGGGGAAGCATGCTCGTGACCGGGGATCACCATGGCCAGAGGAGCCACCCTAGTCCTTGTGCGGCGTCCCTCGTAGAGGTATGATGGCGGCAGGATCAGCGAAGCGAGAAGTTGTGGGAAACTTTCGGGGCCTTTCGCTTGTAGTTGCCAGTTCGTGGTCGCTAGAGCTTTCATGCCACAGTTTACGACGACGGTTTTTCATGGTTTGTGGGCCTCGGCCACGCAACTTGTTTTAGCCGTTCCCTCGCCAATTCGATGGTACGTTCTTATAGTTTCCAGTTCCGTCTTTGCGGGCGCGCCCTGGCTTGCCCAGGGCCATCTTGGCCATCTTACCAGAGCGAACGTTCCGAGTTTCACGAACACGTGTTTAGTCTCCGAGGCAGTAGTTGAATGGTTTTCGGTTGCACTTGTTGATCGTCTCCAGGTTTACGTTGGTGGGTCACAACACGAAAAGTTGAAACAAAATGCCATGGACGTTGCCAACAACAGTGAGCGTGACAATGATAGTACGTTCCAGAGTTTTGAGGCTGTCTTCTTGCCACGCGTGGCCAGAGACGAGTGACCGAGCACTGATGGCCGAGGGTCGCCAGAGAATCCAGATCCCCCAGAGCGTATCCTGAGCCAGTCGCACCGTGGATCTCGGGAAGGAGGGAGGAGGTGGGTCGACTCTAGTGCTTCTGGTGGCCTCTGGTGGCCGATGCGTCCGCCTCGAAAAAAGTTTGCTTTGAGCGCACCCCGCTGGCGGATCTGGCGTGGTCTCGAGGGCCAGAGCGCGCCCTTGGAGAGAGGAGGCGGCTCGAGTGACGAGGCTTCGGGCTGCGCACAGACAGCCTGCCCACGGAGGAGGAGGAGGAGGATTTCCTCGAGGGCCCCAGGGCAGAACATCAAAACCACGGCCTCAGGCCGAGACTGCTGCACGAGAGGCCTCCTCTCTCAGCCGAATCCTCTCCGCCAGGGCCGACATTCCAGGTGTCGAAATCAGGCCCGAGCGGGAGGAGGAGGAGGAGGACGGTCCAGGCTCAGCTGCTTTGAGCAGGACATACCTGGCCGAGGCACGACATGTGGTGCCCTCGCTTGCAGCGACCGTGCCCCGATTCCTGTAATGGGGCGGGAGACCTCGACGGATGCGGGACAGTGCACCTCGCCCGCTGGGGCCAGGAGGTCCGCACATCCCTCCGAGGAGGTAACACCGCTTGCTGGTGAAGGCACCACAGCGGAAACAGAAAACAGTAGGCGCACACTCGTCATCCTGCAAGAAAGTCGTGCACAGGAGGTGGCCACGCTCGCTCTCGGCACCTTGCAATCTGCGGAGCGCAGTGGGCAGGCCCTTGCAGCCGTCCATGGGTCTGCTGTCTCCAATCGCCGTCTTAAAACATCTCGAACACCTAGCGAGCGAGGGAGTTTCATCGTCCCCTGGGTCCAGCACACGCCAGTCATGCCACTCAATGGCACGGTGGGCCCGAGCTTTCACCCGCGGAACCGTGGGGTCCCGAACAAACTGTAACTTGGGAAAAAGAGACAAAACAGCACCGAACATGGCAACTAGCTTTCGCAGTAGAGCCACGTCCTTGTCTAATTGCTCGAGCTCCTCAGCGGGTAACGAGGGGTGAAGAGACAAAGCATGCTTCGCCAGTCGGTCCGCGTCCTGGTTCCCAAGAGCGATTTTTCGTTCCTGGGCGGGAAGCGCGGCTATCACTTCGTCCGACCTGTGCGCAGGCGTGTGAGCAAAAGATGCGATGCTTCGCTGGCCTGGCTCCTGGAGAGCGCGCCGTCTGAGGCCAGCGAATGCCTGTCCAGGGTCCAACTGTACGGACTGGCGCGCATTGGCTAGGTTGACAACTCCAAGACAGTCCGAGTGGGCCTCACTAAGGCCTGTGGCCACACAAGAGAGAGTGGCAGCCCCGAGGTGTTCTCCCGACTGGGCCGTCTGAGGAAGGCCAGGCCACACCGTTCCCAGGAGTCGAGCGCGAACCTCATACGGGGTCTCGCTCGACGGATCGAAGAAAACAGCAGCATACGTGGCACGATTCAGCTCACGAAAGGCAAACTGAGTAGCCGAACCATCGACAACAATGCGGGTGTTGACGGTTCGTTCACAAAACTCTTCGACCGATAGTGGCTCACCTGACGGGCCTTGGAGAAGGGGGTCGAGGTCGAGGCAAGGAGGGGGGGCCTCAGGCTGAGCCACCATTAGCCGAGACCAAAACAGCAATTTTTCAGGCGGGCAGTTACAAGCCGCTAGCATCTCTTCGTCTGAGAGATGCTCACGGCGTGCAGCTTCGACGGTCGGGTCCGAACACAGAAACTGCCTGTGGACTATGGAATCAGGCTCCCCACAGAGGGGACACAAACCGTCCGAAACGTACCCCGAGGATTTGAGCCGATCCGCAGTCCAGCAGGCCCCAGAGAAACACGCAGAAAGCCAGTATTTCTGCCGACCGTCGAGCTTCTTAGAGCGTAGCATTCGTCTCAGGGGATCGGGTGAGACGCGGGAAGAAGTGAACATCGGAGTGGCCTGGGCCATCCTACGCTCGTGCATCCGCTGGACGCCCTCCTCTAGCAACTTATTGAGGAGAGCGGGCGAGGTGTGCAGGAGGTCAATGACGTATCCTCGCTCATCGTGCCAAACTGAGAAGTCCACCGCCTCCCAGCCGATCCTGTGCAAACATAAGAGCATCCTGTGAATGGGGCCTTTCGATTTCCGCCATCCCGTGGATTCCAGATCGAGCTCCTGAGGCTGCACAACATCCCTCCATATCTGTATGTGCTGCCGAAACGAGAATGGAGAAGTAGATGGGGTGGTTATCGACCTCCAGAGGCTGGTCGCCCACTGATGGGCAGGGGCCACCGACTGTTTCCATGCAGGGTCCCCGTGTAGGACCAACTTGGCCGTCAGGGAGGCCCCCCGATGAGCTGGGTTTTTTTCCTGCTAGCAAGACTCGCTGTAGAGACTGAAGCTCGGTGTCCGACATGCCTAGAACCATGGCGCCATAGCCAGCGGCAGGGCGCACTCCAGCAGTATAAATCTTCTGCATTCTGGATTTGTCCCGAGGAAGTTTACGACGATAGTGAGAGATCAGTTTATGTCTCTTCCTCATCATCCTGAAACGCTCCTTCCTCTTGTCCATGCCTCTTTTGCAAGTTCGCCGTTGGCCTGGTGCCAAGTCCGTGCCCAGCGAGACGGCCGCGCTGGTCGCAGCCGATGGGCAGACAGCACGGAGGCGACGGCATAGGCGGTATGCCAGTCGCTGAGAAGAGGCGAAAGTGACGGCCTTGTCCTCAGCCAAGCGGACGTTCAGCCTGTGATCAAAGACATCCTTGAGGTCAATCCCTGCTCGAACTAAGTTGGCTACAATCGCATCTTCGTCGCCGTATGCCGCCACAGTGTCATCGTCGACGTAGGACCCAAGGGAGACCTCAGGGTGCCGTTGGGACCACATGTCAAATTCAAACATCGCGTAAACCTTGACAAACACATCGTTGAAAATATCCCCAGCAGGAAGCCCAGACTCTGCAAATAGGACCAGGGGTGAGTGGTTAGCCCCCAGCCTCAGGATCCTCGGGGATCTCCAAAGGTTGTATAGGGTCTTGATGAGCACCATGGGGATCCTCCAGAAGATGGCCCTGTCTCGGAGCCAGACCAAAATAAAGGATTCATAGTACTTCATTCCATCCCAGATAAAACCTGCCGTTACCTTGCCACTTGAAGAAGCCTGCTCCGATAAGACACTCTGGTTCCAGATGGCCGCCTCCGAGTTTTGTCCAGACCCGAAAGACCAGTAGGGCCGATGGGCCCGCTCCAGGAATTCATCACACTGACAACGGCGCAAACGTTCCCAGACGCGAACTGGGGATCCCAAGAGGAGAATGGGGCGTAGTCCTCCCTTAGGCTTCTCCAAGAGGGGCATCAGCATCCACAACAGCTGCGCTGGGAACAGGCCAAGGCGCTCGATCGCCTCATAGAGCATCGCCAGGACCTCCAGCCCTAGGTCGCTCAAGCATGCGAAGTGCCTGGGGTGGTAGCCGTCGAGCGACTGCGAAGTGTAGCGGCTAAAAGAGCGCGATGCTGCTCGTATCTCCGACGGGCTCGCGCGTGGGAAACAATCTCGATTCGGTATCCAGGCCGACGGCGGCGACATACTGGCATTCCAGAACTCGCCTAGCTTGATGGTCTCGGAGGCCAAAAGGCTCTGGGGGTCCGATGTGAAGATCCCTGGGGAGCGCTCAACGATAGTGGGCTGCCACTTTCTCTGAACCTTCGTGAACCTATGCATGAGTCTCGCAGAGCCTGCAAGCGACTTATCCTGCCATGCGTCCCAAGATTCGCGTGAAAGTTTGTCGCCATTGTTGATGGCCTCTTCATAGTCGGCCTGGATATCTTCCAAAAACTGGGTGGCTCGATCGCGCCACGACTGTTCCGAGGGTCGGTCTGCGCTCCATGCTATCGCTATCTCGCGCATGGCGCGCAAGGTGGCGTCTAGCCTTGGATTCAAACCTTCGCCTGGGCAGGAGTGTTGCAACACAACCTGGAGGTGCTGGCAAGCATACAGGTCGCAATCCTCAGCGGCGACCGAGTTAAACATCTCAGTGAACGTCTGAAAAACCCATTTCCAACCTGCGATAACCTGGAGTGTATCATCTGGGTTCTTCGGGCGGTAGAAAACTGAAACCCAAGAGGCCTTGATCGTTCTGCTCCTTTCTCCTAAATCTTTGGCCTCCGTGCCTAAAGCTCTGTGCAGCTCCACCTCGGCACAGTCGACAAAGTGACCCCAGGCATTCGACAGCACTGCCCAGGCCTCTGTCGCAGCAGCATGCATACTGGTGGCGATCGCGTGCGCCGCGTGCATCATGGCACCGCTCCACTCGACAGGTGACGGAGACGGTCCGAACGGCGGGTCGACTGGCAGACGTTGGTGAGTGCGGTATACAAGCTGCTTTAAACGGAGTGTGTCACCTCGGAACTCAACGCGAACAGGACGGTGAGGTTTTACTTCCCAGGAGGTGTCCGCCGATACCATGGTAACCAGATGGGCGATCCCAGGACCCATCACAAAATAGTCAATCACACGGTTCGAAGTCGGGGAGCGACAGGTGAACGCCCGCGGTGACAGGATGAGCATACCTAGCTTCCGAGGGAATCCAGATGCTTCCAGGACCTCAGGACTCATATTCCAATCTCCTCCCAAGATCGTGTGCGTCGGGTCGGTGATCGACTGACCTATCGACTTCAAAATCCCCAGGTTGGCCTCGCTAAGGCCCTCAGCGGACCGCATATAAACCGAGTAAAGCGACAAAACAGGCCACCCAGGGAACTCAATCAAGACCTTGACGACTCTGTGGGCACATATGCACCCGTTGCCTTCAGCGGGCCATCGAAGTCCCACTGCTAGTCGTGCGAATACTGCTACTCCCGATGATAACTTCCCAGACTCAGCATTGATACGAGCAGGAAGAATGAGAGAGTGCCAGCCGAGCGAACGAGCTGCAGCTGTGGCCTGACCGACGAACTCCTCGCTGATGCCAACCTCTTGGGCACACAGCACGACAGCGTCCGTCTCGGCCAAACGTCGGCGCAGAGTGCGCCAGCCTGAGCCGTTGAACGACTCCAAAAAATACTTGCGACCGTCACTATCTGTCGGTGATCTATCGGGCGCCCCCTTCAGCGGGGGAACTGGAACACCTGAGGTGGATAGTGGAACCCCTGAGAGCAAAGGTACTGCTAAGCCCAACATAGTGTCACCCACACTTTTGGTTCTTAGCTTTGACCCCCATCTCTCGAAGGAGATTGGCGAAAACTTCAGCATGATCCTCCTCCTCTTTCCGTGCGGCCGAAAGAAGTAGCTGAATCTTTTCTCCTTCCAAATCCTCCAAGTCCATATCTTCAGGGACGGGTATGCTTTGGTGGGAAGCCCCTCCTCCCTCAGTGGCGGGGGAAGGTGGGGCAGTGGGAGTTGCAGGTGCAGGCCCCGAGGCCTCCTGCTTGACCTTGTGCTGCGCCCGCAGCAGCTCCTGGAACTTGATGAAACACGGCGAGGCGACCATCTGCTGCACCTCATCGGGGGCGGAGGCGAGGATGTCAGGGTGGAGCTCAAACTTGGGCTCCGTGGACGGGTCCTGTGACGGAGCCACCTCCTGCACCATGCTGCGCAGCTCCACCTGGTACGCCGAGATCTCGACCTGTGTGGCCCTGATCTTCTCGCGCTGCAGTTGAAGGCGCTCCTGAGCCTCCTTGACAGCCTTCTCCTGCTCGACCATCTCCTCCTGCAGCTTGGACAACTTCTGCTGGGAGCGCGCCAACTTGTGGCCGAGGGTGTTGTGCCTGGTGACGGCAGGCTTGCGATCCGTGATCGACTTGCGCACAGCCAGCAGCTCAGACTCCATCTGCGACTGCACCGCTGAGTCGCCGAGGGCCGTGCACTTCTTGATTGCGCCGAGGGCCTCCTCAAGGGCGTCGGCCTTGGCGCGGATGGCTGCGAGCTCGGCATCGGAGGAGGAGGAGGAGGAGGAGGAGGAGGAGGAGGAGGGGAAAGGAGGAGGAATGCTATGGAATGCTATGAGAAGGGGTACGTGTCCAAGCCTCGGCCCTGGGCTCCCCAGGGTTGCGCGCAAGCGACTCACGCCACCTGGGAGCCCCTACCGCCAGAGACGATCCACCGACCCACGAGGGGCCTTCCACCAATCCGCCGACCCTCATGGGGCCCTTATCCATCACTCCACTCCGAAATGCACGCCCACGCGTCGCGAGGCTCATGGCTTACCGCCTGCATGGCCTCCTCCAGCTTCTTCAGGGCGATCTGCGCAGCCGCGAGTGTCTGAAGGGCCTCGCCGTCGTCACGCCACTTGCCCTCCTCAGTGATGTTCGCAATATCCCGCTCCAGGTTGCAGGCGAGCTTCATCAAGAGGGGGTTGACGATTCCCTTCAGCTTCTTCTGCTTGCCCTCGAGCGCAACCTTCCCTTCGGACTGGGCCTTTCCCAACCAGTCAAGGGTGTGATCAATCGCCTTCTCGATCTTCTTCTGGTCGCTGTCGTCAAAGTTGTCCTTGAACTCCGCCTGTAGGAGGGTTTTGTGCACTGGAGCAGCAGCTGACGAGGCAGTGCACTGCCTCCGACCTCTCCTCGGCCTGCTTCGTCAACTCATTGGCATTCTTCGACTCCTCCATGGCCTCCTCTTCGGCGAGCTGCACCTTGCGCTCGGCCTGCTGCATCGCCTCCTCGGCTCGCTTCAGCATCTCCTCAGTCTTCCTGGCCATCTGCTCGGCCTGCTGCAGCTTCTCCCTGGCCTTGAGGGTCGTCGCCACGGCCTGCTCCGACACGTTGGCCTGCTCCGCCTTCCTCTCGACCTGCATGTCGGCGTCGGCGAGCACCTGGCCCGCCGCCGCGGCGAGGCCCGCGTACGCCGGGTGGGCCGCCGCATTCCGGTGCTTGGAGGCCCGCCCCGGCCTGCCCGCCACGGCTTGGCCTGGGGCCCCCAACCCGCACAGCACCTCCTTGGCGTCCTTGACGGCGCGCGCGACTCCCGTCATGTCGCTCACCATGTTGACCACCGCTTGGACTGTGGGAAAAAACACACACAGTCTGTGGGAAAAAAACGCACCGTCTGTGGGAAAACACACACAAAACACACACACACAGTGGGAAAAAAAAAACACTGTGGGAAAACAACACATACGTGTGTGTGTGTGTGTGTCTGTGTGTGTCTGTGTGTGTCTGTGTGTGTCTGTGTGTCTGTGTGTCTGTGTGTGTGTGTTTTGTGTTTTGTGTATGTGTATGTGAATGTGAATGTGAATGTGAATGTGAATGTGAAGGTGTATGTGTATGTGTATGTGTATGTGTATGTGTATGTGTGTGTATGTGTATGTGTATGTGTGTCTGTGTCTGTGTCTGTGTCTGTGGCTGTGGCTGTGTCTGTGTCTGTGTCTGTTTCTGTGTCTGTGTCTGTGTCTGTGTCTGTGTCTGTTGACGCGGGGCCTATAAAGGCAAAAGGAGCCCACCGAGGGCCCAGGCCCACGTGAGGGGCCCTGGCCCACAGGGGCCTTCCCAAGGCAGGAGGAAGGCGCTTCGGCCCCGAGAGCCTCGACGACGTCGGAAAACTCTTGCCTGGAGGGCGCTACGGCCCCGAGGCACAGCTCGACACGTCCGAAGCTCTACCCCCGTCTATAGGGCATCTCCCGTACCAAGGGACATACAGGAGGAAAATCTGCGGTGCAAGCGGGCACAGACTGCAACAAGCACGTACGCACGCAAATACAGAAGGCCACTCACTCACACCCTCAACGCGCGATCACATTTCGAGCAGGAGAACACTGACTAAGCAAACCAGCAGACGCTTCTGCCAAGAACAGCCTCGCGCGTACACATCTGCGGTGCAAGCGGGCACAGACTGCAACAAGCACGTACGCATGCAAATACAGAAGGCCACTCACTCACACCCTCAACGCGCGATCACATTCCCAGCAGGAGAACACTGACTAAGCAACCAGCGGACGCTTCTGCCAAGAACAGCCTCGCGCGTACTCAGAACCCTGAGAAGTCCTCACTCGAAATCATCCTCGAAGTGGCTGCTGCGCTCCAGCCGAGCGCACTGCTCGGCGAAGATCGGCGAGCCCTGGGCTAGCCATGCGGCACGCTCGAGGTCGTACTCGGCAGCGCGCTCGCTGCCGTCGGAGAACTCGTCGATGAGGAACTGGCCGTGGTCGGGCCCGTAGTCCCTGAAGACCCCAAACACGGAGGAGACGTAGGAACTGCTGTCGCCGCCCACGGAGCCTTCGTCGACCTCAACGCTCTCGACGCTTCCGATGCCCCCTCGGAGGAGCGCAGCATCGTTATCTAGCAGGTATTGCGTGACAGCATCGTGGCGCTCAGCGGTGGCGGCGGAGAGGGTCTCGGAGCATACCGTGCTGTCCTGGCTCCCCTCGGCGCTCTCGCCCTCGCCGTGCCTGCTGTCGCCCTGCTCTCCAGTTGGGCCTCCCAGGTGCTCCTGCAGCGGCGGCGGCGCTCCAGCGCCTGCAGCACCGCCCACCTGGGGCCACTCGGCACGACACGGCACCTGGAGGGCAGCTGCGCCGACTCCCTCCTGCTCCACGTCTGCCGTCCAAGCCCCGTCACGGGGAGGGCCAAGCTCAGCCATGTCAATGGGAGCCAGGGGCCCGCAGTCCAGCGCCGCAAGCACCTCCTCGGCCGTCTCCTCGCAGCTCAGCTGGCGGGAGGGTACGTACGGCGTGGCCCCGCTCCGCAGCGGCGTGCGCCTCGAACGGAAGGGCTGGGCGCTTGACCACAGGCTCGCCCTCGGCTCCGCTGGTCTCCCGAGCTTCACGGCGGGCTCGGCGACGCAAATATCGACCTGTATCTCCAGCTGCAGCCGCGCTGCCCCCTCACTGCTGGCACCGCCGTGGGCAGCACCAGCAGGCCTGGGAGCTGCTCCCAGGCGGGGCCCGCGCTCGGCCTTGCGCCATGCGGCCGGCTCCGCTCCGGCCAGCGGGCAGGAAGCGGCGTGCCAGGCCACGTTGCGCCGCCGCCTGGCTGCTGGGGCCTCGGGTCTGCCGGCGACGCGGGCCGCCAGGACAGGCCTCGCGATCGCCTCGCGCCGCAGCACCTCGGGGTCCCCCTCGCCGTCGACCTTCGCCTCGAGCAGCTCGCGGAGCCTGGCGGCCTCGCCCCGGGCCTCTGCCAGCTCACGCGTCAGCCGCTGCACAAGGCGGTCTGCAGCGAAGCGAGCACCAGCCACCCCGCGCAGACTCTGCCGCGGCATCTTGCCCGAGCGCGCCCAGGCACGGCTTGAGCCAAAATGGCTACGGATGTGTGTGTGTCTGTGTCTGTGTCTGTGTCTGTGTTTGTGTCTGTGTCTGTGTATGTGTCTGTGTCTGTGCGTGTGTGCCAAAATCGGCCAGGGCGGGAAGAGGAGAAAGAGGAGGAAAAGGAGGAAGAGATGGAGGAGGAAGAGGAGGAGGAAGAGGAGGAGACGCGCAGTGCCGCCCATCCAAAACGAGGACTCAATTCCCAGGAGTGTGGGGACAAATTAGCAAACTTCGATCCTCCTCCTCCTCCTCCTCCTCCTCCTCCCTCTCCTCCTACTCCTCCTCCTCGAACCCCGAAGCTCGAGTACGACGACGACGGATCGCCGACAACGACAATGACAACTCGACGACGACGACGATTCGACGACGACCACGACCACGCTTCGACGACGACGAAGACGATTCGACGACGGCAACGACGACGAAGACGAGTCAACGACAAATACTCGAAACTTCGACGGAGATGCGACGATCCGACGACGACGACGAAGACGAGTCAACGACGACAAACACTCGACGCTTCGACGAAGATGCGACGACAATTCGACGACGACGACAATTCGACGACGACGACTACGACGACGACGACGACGACGACTTCGACGACGACGACGACGACGACGACGACGACGACGACGACGACGACGATCCGACGGCGGCAGCGGCGGAAGCGGCAGCCCCCGGCCGAGCGGCGCGGCTCCCGTGGAGCTGGCCCGCGTGGTGGCGCTGGCCCGCGACGAGTCCCTCCGCTTCGTGGGCGACCTCGGCCGCGCTCCGGCGAGGGGCGGGCCCCGCGGGCTGCGGGCGCGCCCCCGCAGGGGCTGCGACGGCTGCGCGCTGCAGGGCGCGCGCCCGCCGGCCCCCCTCTCGGGCGGCTGGTAAGCTCCGGTCGGGCCTGTCCCTCTGCAGGGGGAGCGTTCGAAGATAGTTGAAAGATAGCCTGGGGACCATGTTGGCATATCTTTTTGGCTACTTCTGCGCACCGTAGGGGGACACGCCCGACCCAGTGGCAAGGCAGGGGCCCCGGGGTGAAGCAGAGGGCCCCGCAAGCGGGGCCCTCTTGAGGGCCCCTGCGGGGCACCCGCTGGCTCCCGAACAAGGGGCCCTCTCGAGGGCCCCCTTCCGGGCCCCGCCTCCTCACCCCGCCAGGTGGCCCCCCCTTCACATGGTGGGCCTGCTTTCCACCACCACCACCACCATGAGTTGGAGGGGTAGGGGGTCCTCCTCCTCCTCCTCCTCCTCCTCCTCCTCCTCCTCCTCCTCCTCCTCCTCCTCCCCCTCATCGTCCTCCTCCTCCTCCTCCTCCTCGTCCTCCCCCTCCTCGTCCTCCACCTCCTCGTCCTCCACCTCCTCGTCCTCCACCTCCTGCCCCCTCCAACTTATGGCCCATCACCACAACCACCCGCCCGAGGGCTGCGGGCGTGCGCCCCCGCAGCAGCTGAGCCAGCTGCGCGCTGCGGGGCGCGCGCCCGCCGGCCCCCCCGCTGCCGGCGGCCGGCGGCGGCGGCGATCGGGCGGTCGGGCTCGGCCGCTCGCTCCTCGGCGGCGAGCGCGGCGGCGGCGGCGAGATCGGCGGCGGCGGCGGTCACGAGCGTGGCGGCGACTACGAGCGCGGCGGGCGACCTCGGAGCGTACGGTCGGGCTGCTGGTCGTCGTCGTCGTCGTCGGCGGCGGCGGCGGCGGCGCCTTCGGGGCCTTCGGGGCCCTCGGGGTCCTCGGGGCCCTGGACCCCGCGCGGGAAGCGCGAGGACCAGCCGCCCCTTCAGGGCCCCGGCCGAGCGGCCTGGGGGCAGAACTCTTCCAGCCGGGCTGCTGAGAATAGAGAACGCTGGCTGAGGAGCGAAGCCCCTCGTCGGCACCGGCGCGGAGACGGCATGGCGACCCTTGCCTCCTCCCTGATCCCTGACGCCCGCATCGTGCACCGCGCAGTCGACGTCGTCGTCGCCATCATCGTCGTCGCCTTCGTCGTCGTCGTCGTCGTCGTCTAAGTCGTCGCCGCCGTCGTCTTCGTCGTTGCCGTCGGCCAATTCGTTGTCTAAGTCGTCGTCGGCGTCGTCGTCTAAGCCGTCGTCCTCGTCGTCGTTGTCGTCTTCGTCGTCGTCGTCGTCGTCGTCGTCGTCGACCATCCGATCAGCACGCCGCCGGCGGGGTCTCGGCGCGCGGCAGCCGGCAGCTGTCGCGGGCGGGGTCGGGCTCGGGCTCCTCGCAGAGATGGGGCGCTCGCGCCGCCGCCGCCGCGAGCGCTCGCGACCGCCGCCGCCGCGTCGTCACTGCCGTCGTCGTCGTCGTCGTCGTCGCCGTCGTCGTCGTCGTCGTCGTCGTCGCCGTCGTCGTCGTCGTCGTCGTCGTCGTCTAAATCGTCGTCGTCGTCGCTGTCGTCGTCGTCGTCGTCTTCTAAGTCGTCATCGTCGTCATCGTCGTGCTCCGTCTGGATTCCCAGGCCCACTCGGGCCATGAAAAGATCACGACGAAAGGTTCTTTTCGCTGTGTTCGGCCTCCCTCTCCTCCTCCTTCTCCTCCTCCTCCTCCTCTTCCTCCTGTTCTTCCTTCTCCTCCTCCTCCTCCTCCTATTCCTATTCCTATTCCTCCTCTCCTTCCGTGGCGGCCCGCGCAAGGACGTGTCAGTAGGATGCATCCTCCTCGGAGGCGTCCCAGACATGATCGCCGGAAGATTTTTCGCCATCTTCGTCCTCTGGGGGCCCTCGCCACGCCTCGGGACCGTCAGAAAGCCATCCAGGGTG